TATTCATATTAGAGGTTTGTTGGATTACCAAATTGATAATGTTTCTTTCCTAATTCTCACTTTTAAAAATCTATTCCAGGGACATCTACTCTTTTCAAGCTTTCATGATAGTTAATTTCTTTCTTCTTCTGTGTGTAGGATTTCTTTAAGTGTCTTCTGCTATGCTGGCTTAGTTGTCATGAGTTGCTTTAATTTATGCTTATTTTAAAAGGACTTTATTTCTCCATTGATATTTTTAAAGGATAACTTTGCTGGATATAGTAGTCTTTGTTGGAAGTTATTTATTTTCAAAGTTTCAGATGTGTTATTACATACTTTCTTGATTTTTAGGGTTTCTGCAGAGAAGGCTGCTGTCATTCTAATAGGTTTGTCTTTGTAAGTAGCTTGGTGCTTGTTTCTGGCAGCTTTCTGTGTTCTTTCTTTGTTCTGTACTCTTGGCATTTTTAACTGTAATATGATCTGGAGACGTTATTTTCTGGTCATGTCTACATAGGGTTCTAAATGCCTCCTGTTCATATTTCCCTAGATTTGGAAATTTTCTGCTATTATTTCATTGAATACCTTTTCTATGCTTTTAATCTGTATCTTAGCTCCCTCCTCTATACCAAAGACTCAGAGGTTCTCTCTCTCTCTCTCTCTCTCTGTTTAGCAGTACTTGAGTTTGAATTCAGGGTCTTGCACTTCCTAGGAAAGCACTCTTAATACTTGAGCCATACCCCCAGTCTTTTTGTTTTTAGTTTTTCAGATAGGATTACTTTTGCCTGGGGTGGCCTCAAATCTTGATCCTCCTGTCTCTGTCTCCTGAGTAGCTAAGATCACAGGCATGAGCCATTATGCCTGTCTGGGGTTTAGTCTTTTGAATATGTCAAGGGCTATTGAAACTTTTGGTCATGATTGCTCTCCTCCCCCCCTTTATTGCTGTGTTAGTTATTTTTCCATTGCTGTGACTTAATAGCTGTCATAAACAACTGAAAGGAGGAAAGGTAGTTTCATTCAGTTTCAGTCCCTGTTAGGTTGGTTCTGTGTTTCTGAGTCTGTGGTGAGGCATTGAGTCATGGTGGAAAGACATGGCAAAAGAAAAGTACTCATTTTATGGCAGCGAGGAAGCAAAGAGGCGCAGTAATTGGAGGGGGCTGGAGTGAGATAAGTCCCCCTACGACACACATCCAGTGATTTACTTCCTCCAACTAGGCCCCACCTTCCTTAGTTGTACCATGTCCAGTAGCCTTTTTCATTAATAAAGCAGAGCCCTCATGATCCAATCACTTCCCCAAAGCATCTGGACACTTCCTCCATTTGGGGACCAAGCTTTCAATACATGGGTTGACACTTCATATCTAACCCATAACATTCCACTGCTGGCTCTAAAAAGGCTCATTTCTATTTAATAAGGCAAAATGCACTCAGTCTACCTCCACGGGACCCCACAGTCTTCTCAGTTCTAGTATTGCTCAAAAGTTCAATTCCAAAGTCTCCTCTGAGACTCAAGGAAATCTCTCAGCTGTGACCCTCTATAAAACTAAAAAAACAAGTTATGTACTTCTGCTGGCACATTGTTGTTATGTAGTGAGGAATAGGAGAATAGCAAGGAAACAAAGCAAGATCAAAACCCAGGAGAGCAAACATTAATTCCTTAGCTGCTCGTCTGGCATCTGGGACACTCTGGTAATGAGGTGACATAGAACACAGTTGTATTGGGCAGCCGTACCCCTGTGGCCCTGCCCGTTGCTGCTCACATGTCCTTTCTCTTGGTCTGGCTCCACTTGTTTCCTGTTGCTTTTCTTAGCAAGCATTCCATGTTCCTGATGTCTTCAACTTTCTGGGATTTCCTTTACTTCATAGGCTGCACTCCCATAGCTGCATGCATCACAAGTTCAGGGTTGCCAGCAGGGATTCTGACCTGCTGCACATTTCCTGTCTTCTCAGGCTTTCCTTTGAAGTTGGGTGGAAGTCCTTGTGATCCTACAACTCTTGCATTCAGCATGTCTGCAAAACCATGATCATGAGCCTGCTGCTGTGGCCTGCTGCCAGCTTGAGCAGTAGCCACGGTCCCTTGAACTGAGGCTGCAGCAGCTTCTGAACGCTTGGGTATCTGAGAATGGTGAAATACATCTTGCAGGAACAACTTTGTAGGTGATCTTACGGGAGCAGGTTGGCCTCATGGTGTTTGCTTCTCAAAGAAAAGGCTTTTAAATGAATTTACTCTTGTACACCCTTGAGGGTGAGATGGGTGGGGTCTTAGTGATTCCTGAGATGGCCTTCAGGAATCTTTCATACTGTGCTGATGCAAAAGAAGTAAAGTATTCAGCTGCTTTTTCTTTTTCTTTTTTTTTTTGTGGTATTGTGGCTTGAACTCAGGGCACTCACTTTGAGCCACTCCACCAGCCTTATTTTTGTGATGGGTTTTTTCGAGATAATGTCTTGCAAACTGTTTGCCCAGGCTGGCTTTGAACTATGATCCTCCTGAGCTTTGCCTCCGGAGTAGTGGGATTACAGGCGTGAGCCACCAGCAACTGGCTTCAGCTGCTTTTTCATGATGCCAGTCTCTTCAGAATCCATGCCTTCTTCACTCCTAACTTTAGACAAGGTTTTCTGACCAAGCTGCAAGTTTTTCAAGTCTTTCCTTTCTTGTTTATGCTATCAGCTCTCACTGTAAACCTGGCTAAAAGCACCTAACAATACTCATGCCACAGTCTTTATGCTTGTTGCCTTGAAATTTCCTCCACCAGATTAATTAGTCCATCACTTTTAAATTCAGCCTCACTCAGTCTTATGGCAAAATAAGAACAAAATGTAGACAAGTTATGTTTTAGAATGTAACATGCATTGACTCTGTTGTTCCTAGTAGAATACTTGTTCCCATCCAAAACCTCATGAGTTACACAGCTTACTGTTAACATTTCTGTGGATAGTCTGGTCTTCTGAACTTCCACTAGAATTGCCCATTACGTTCTGCTTAAATAGAATGCTTTCTCTAGCCTGCCTCTCCAAATTCATCCCACAACCTATTTCCATAGGTTTCTGAACCACTTGGTCAGATAGTCACAGCAACAACCTCACTTCTCTGGTGCCAGTTTCCCATGTTAGTTTTTCATTGCTGTAACAGTTGCTACCTGAATATAATAATTCCTCCTCTTGTCTTTAATCCCTGTTATGTTTTCTTCCACTTGATGTAGTCTACTGGTGATGGTTTTCATTAAGTTCTTTATTTGATCTCTTGAGCTTTTCATTTCCATGATTTCTGCTTTTTCTTTTCTCTTTGTTTTTAAATCAGAATCTCTTTTGATTGAATTTCTCATTTAAGTCCATGAGTCTGTGTCCAACTCACAAGCAGTTTCCTAGTCTCATACTAATTCTGGTGTGGTCACTCAGCCACTGAGGAGAAGAGGCCGTTGGGACTTAAGAGATATAAAAGCACAGGACCTTTGATTCCCTAGCCATAAGGTGTGACAGGAAACCCTCCTAAGGTGGCTCCTCATCATAGGAGCAGTGGGTACCTGAGGACATGGAGGGGACCCGTCCTCTGGAGTCTGCTTGCTACGTGGATTGCAGATCTCCCATCTCAAACTGTGTTTTCGCAGAGTGCCAGATCCTGTCAGTAGTGCTGGTGAGGGTTTTCTTTCTGTATTTGGCTTAAGGCCCCGTTTTGGGCGAACCTTCCCCTTCCCAACCATATTGCCAAGTCCCTAGTGTTAGGGCTCTTTCTTTTACAAATCCGACGTCTAGTAGTTCTGGATTTTACCTCGTTTCTTTCTACGGTCTACTGTTGTACTCCCATGCTTTTCCATGCCACCCCACTTCTCCTGTAGTCACACACTTGCTGTGTTTCAATCTTGTGGAGATGCAGAAATATGCTGGGTGTCTCTGATTCACCATCTTTCCTCCACACCATGTTTTCTTTAAAGTTTAATAACATAAACTATGAACTGGTGAGACAGTTTTCTTTCTGGTGTAAAACCTACTCTTCTCAAATGCATTTGTGACTTTCAGTTTATATTTGCATGTGTGCATATTGGCAGGGTTTTTTGTGTACTATCATGCCTATGCAACAAACTTCTTGTTTATTAAAGGGGGATGCACAGTACTTTTAGAATTATTGTAGTTACGCTAATGAAATGAGCAAAGTTCTCAGGCTGTCTCCAGGCTTGTGGGTGTGCTTTTGGGGTCACTGCCCTGAGTAAGTCACTGTGGGCAAAGTCAACTTCTAAACTCTATGTAACTAATTCTGTTAGATCATCTAGTTCATTTTCTTGGTAACTGAGTCAGCCAGAATCCCCATCTCTTAATTTACAACATGGTGGCTTCCTTTTTGATGACCACATTATTTTTTTAACATCCAGCATATACTCTATTTAGTATAGTTTAGTTTACACACAAAGTTAGTAAAAATCAAGAGATTTAGAGAAAAGGCAGTAAATAATCACAAAACATTTTTTCCAGGTTTTGACAGTGATTATATTTTCTAATGGTCATTTTTCTAGATGCTGCAAAACATAAGCATGGTCTTAACCTGTGGGATCTTTTCCATATGCTACTTCATCTCACATTATTGAGAAGAGAAATATGTATAGGCCCTACTCTGCGTCAGATCCTGTTCATAGATGTATTATTTCATCTCTCCCTCACAAAACACCTCTAAGATAGCTAGAAGCCAGTGAGTCACTTGGTAGCCTTGTCCTTGTGTGTAATTTTCACTGTAGCCTCAAATCATTTAGTCTCTGACTCAGTTACAGGAAAGGCAGCTGTGGAATTGAAGGGCTGAAGGCAAAGGCTGTATGAACAACAGTCCTGGTGTGGGTTCTTGACTCTGTTCTTAAAAGCTTTGGACCTAAATTAAGTTTACTAAGTCCCTAAACTGGCCCAGAGCTGCATAAGAATTAAATAAGAAAAACATTGCCAGCTTGATAAGTTATGCTTTACATTATTTGTCTTATAAGAGCCACTGTCTTTGTACTTGCCACAGTGGTGCAGTGATTTTACCTGTTTTTGTTCTTAAATAGTTGGATCTACACAAGTGAGAAGGACCTGAATGGGAGTAGCCACTGTGGAATCATAGCAACTTACAGTGGAGCTGGGTATTACCTAGATTTGTCAAGAACCAGAGAGGAAACAGCTGCCCAGATTGCTGGCCTCAAGAGAAATGTGTGGCTGGACCGAGGAACCAGGGCAACTTTTATTGACTTTTCAGTGTACAATGCCAACATTAACCTGTTCTGTGTGGTCAGGTGAGTACTGCAGGTGCACATGTCTCCCACTTCTGGATGATTTTCTTTACTCTCTGTTCTAGGAATTGGTCAGAAAACCCTGCCTGCATCTGACTAAAGGATGGTACCAAAGATCAAGGCCAATAGCAAGAGAAGGGTGAAAACTGCAGGTTTGGTAGGATAAAGATATTTGGGTAAGAAACTCAGAATCCTAGGCTATTGTGACTTGGAAAGAACCTTAAGTCTTGTTCAAGTTCATCCAAATTCTGAATCTTATCCTGAAAAAGCATTGTTTTTCTAGCATGACTTTAGCCATTTTAAGAACGATCATCAAACAAAGTCCTTTGATTATCCAGCATTGACTCCTTTCCGAAACTTCACCTACATGGGTTACTTGCACATGTATTTTCATATACGGTAAGGAGATAGTCTTATTATATCTATATTTTATCATCACTTTTGACGCTAAACTCAACTCTGTTTTAAGAACCAATTGGATTTTCATAGTATTGTGTTTAAAAACTTTGCTGAAAACAATATCACATTAATTGAAGTAGTAGTTACTACTAGAAATGAATGAAAGCATTTGGAGTTGTCTTTGATTTCAGTGAAGTTTGGAAGTGATAATAAGAGGCAGGCAGCTCTGTCACTCAAGGAAGGTCTATTCATAGGATATCCTGAGTGTTATCTTTCACTTCCTCCTCAAACTTTAAGGGTGAACATTTTTAAGGCAGTTACTCCATGTCTGTACACTGTTCTCTAAGTTTCTGGAAGTGGTTGACATGTGCAGGACCACAGTGGGTTAGACACAGACACTTTGACACACAGAGACCACTTCTTTTTTGAGTTAACACCAAAGCTGTCAGCAAGTTATGCTTTCAGTACTGCTCTCCTGAGTTTTCAGTTCTCATCATTTATCCCCAGCATATTATCTAGGAAAGAAAGAGCAGGGGATTTGCTATAAAAGGGGAGGGATCTCATTTGCCTCAGTCCCCACCTTCACTTGGTCATTGCTGAGCCCACATGGGCCCTGGTAGCTCAGCTTATAGGTTTGGCCTCTTGACCTGTAATGGAGGAGAGAGATAGTGATGCCTAGCAGCTGACTGCGGCCTTTTAAAACTCTAAAATTACAGACCTAGAGATTCTGTTCCTAAGGGCATCATTTAACTTGCTGAGTGTGACACCTGCAAAATGAGAATTTGAACGAAAAATCTTCAGTTTAATTATAGTAAAGAAAGATTAGCATTCTTGTGAATGAAAAATATGTATGTTACTCTTTTAGGTAATAGACAGGTATTGAGAGCCTGTCAACTATAATGCTCTGGGAAGGGGAGAAAAACTACCTCAGAGGCAAACTTTTCCATGCTAATTAGGTGTTTTTTAATGAAATCATGAATGAATGACTTACTCCCTAACTTTACATATTATCAAATATATATCCTGCTTCTCAACCCAATCATACATGTTTTGAGTGCAAGGTTTGTATTTCTTTTTGTTCTCTGTGTTGTCTAGTAGAGTGACATCCATTTAATAGAAGTCCTAAGAAGACTTCTTTGCTGATTAACTTTTACTTTGAAAAAAAATGGTCAAGATAAATACTCAGTTCAATCAAGAGTAAAATACTAAAGATGAGCGTTATCAGTGTGAAGATAAAATACACGTATGTAACCGTTTCCCATAATAGGCAGGTATCAATACCTGTAAGCTGAAAAAACATCAGGAGGAGAAAGGTACCCCTGGAGAAAACCATTCAGTGCTAATTAGATGCTACTTAATTACTGATTGAAAGAATGAGATTCAATCCCTATACTTATATATTACAAACTTTTCAGGAAGATCATATGTTCTTCGAATACATGGTTTATATTTGTATTTCTTTATGGTTTTTCCTTGTCCTAATAGAATGGCAAGCATTTAATGGAAGTCTTAGGAAGAGTAGTTTGTTGATTAAGTTTCACAGTATACACATAGAGTACTTCAAGCAGTATTAACACTAGAAAAGGAGTGTGAGCCTGAGGAGAAAGTAACTTTATAGGATGGGAGGCCCGGGGAAGCCTGGCTCCTTTTACAGCAAATGGTCCTACAAGTATTGGCTATGGTTAAATGATTTACCACTAGCTCAGGGTAGCAGTTTTAGTGTCTTATCCTGCAGGGACAGAATAGATAGATGTCTTTGCCTGACTACATTAAGATGACTAAAAGACTCATTTTAATTGCTCTTATTGTGATGCAGGTTATTGGTGGAATTCCCAGCAACAGGTGGTGTGGTTCCATCTTGGCAATTTCAGCCTGTAAAGCTGATCCGCTATGTCACAACTTTTGATTTCTTCCTGGCAGCCTGTGAAATTATCTTTTGTTTCTTTATCCTTTACTACTTGGTGGAAGAGATATTGGAAATTCGCATTCACAGACTGTACTATTTCAGGAGTTTCTGGAATTGTCTGGATGTTGTGATCATTGTGGTAAGTTGGAGAACAAATTCTCTACTCTAAAGCATGGTTTTTACAGCATTGTGGGTCTTGATAGTCAAGATTTTTATTATATCAACTTGTGTTGCAGCTTGCTTTCTCATTTTGCATGAGAAACCATCATGACTGTCAGTTGCATACATATTAAGCTCACAGTTAACCACAGTAATCATGAGGAGGACTCACTAACTCGCTCATTTGGCTTTGGCTTGGAACATGACATGTGAGGGATAAAATTACTTATTTTCCTTTTTTGCTAATGATATTTTTCTTCAACCATTACTAAAAATTAATGTTTTTCTGCATGTGTGAAGTGATGGTAAGAAGAAATAGCTTGAAAATATTTCACTGACAGAGAAAACTTGCAGTTTAGAATTTTCTGCAAATAATCCACAGAGAGCAAAGTTCAGGATATATTCATCAAAGTTTTCTAGCTGGGCGCTGGGTGACTCACGCCTGTAATCCTAGCTACTCAGGAGGCAGAGATCAGGAGGATCGCTGTTCAAAACCAGCCTGGGCAAATAGTTCTCAAGATCCTACCTTGAAAAACCCTTCAAAAAATAGGGCTGGTGGAATGGCTCAAGGCGAAGGCCCTGAGTTCAATCCCCAGTACAGAAAAAAATTTGTTTTAAAAAAGTTTTTGTATGAGGTACAAAAAATCCTGAGGCAGTGTGACATAGTCAAGACTGCAATTTTCAATTGTTTTTTTCTTTTGTGCTACTAGTGTTTTTAACTCAAAGTTCATATACTTTCTGGGTAGATGCTTTATCCCTTGAGCCAACCCTTTTGCTTGCATTATTTTGGGAATACGGTCTCATGTTTTTTTCTTGAGCTGGCCTGGGCCAGCACAATCCTCTTATTTATGCTTCCCACAAAATTGGGATGACAGACACACCACCAGGCCGCACTTTTTATTGGTTAAGATGAGGTCTCGCTAACTTTTGCCTTGGCCAGCTTCAAACTATGACACTCCTGATCTTCTCCTCCTGAGTAGCTGGCAGTACAGACATGAGCCACCATGCTCAGCTGACTCCATGCCTGCCCTTGACTCTGTTGTAACTGTGAATACTTTTCCAGTTTATTTTCCCATCAAATGAATCATTTCATCAGTTAAGCATCACCTTCTAATCACTTCCTTCCAGAGGCCTCAATGTAAAAATGACTTTTTAAAGCTTTTCCTTCATAACAACAGATAACCTTTTGTTAAATCTTGTTGTACATGTAAGCATGTAATAATGTGCCTGATTGTCAGATGCTTAAACATTCTGATTGATAAAGCTGTGCCACGTCTTATTCTATGTCAATACTTTCCACTGTCTTCCAGAGAAATGACCCTCTGAAATCTGAGAAAGTGCTGTATTACCCTGCCAGCACTCTGTTAGCCTTCCTCCTGACAATTATTTTTCCCTCACCCACTTTCCAAAATTCATTTCATCTGCATGAAGCACTTACATTATCATTATTAAATTATTTCCCATAGAATTTATAGAACATATGTATTCATATGTGAGGGACAGAACATTTCAGGCATTAAAAAAAGAGCAATAATAATGTTAGCAGCAATAATAGTAATCATAATTGCTTACCGTTTAGAAACTAGTGTGTATTAGCCACAGGTCCACATGCTCTGTAGTACAATAGCATGTTGAATGATTACATTTATTCTCTTATCCACTCTGCCCTTGCATCTCACACCATCTACGCATGTGCTTTAGAATGAGCTTTCATTTAGAATAAGATTCCTGTAGAACAGATATGATATGGGACCATCACAACTCCCTGTATAGCTATCCTTATCTCAACCAGCAAAAACCCTTGTTCCTTCCTATTATGGCTTATACTCGCTCTACAACAAAATTAGAAATAAGGGCAAAATAGTTTCTGCTGGGTATTGAAGGGGTGGGGGTGAGAGGGAGGGGGCGGAGTGGGTGGTAAGGGAGGGGGTGGGGGCAGGGGGAGAAATGACCCAAGCCTTGTATGCACATATGAATAATAAAATAAAATAAAAAAATGATATGGGACCATCAGACCCCCGTGCAGCCAGAACTGCATCCCACCTTTCACAGTGTTCCTATTATATCACATGATTTATACAAGGCAAGATGATTCCTTCACCCCCACATACTCAATTTAATAATAGCAAGGTTACAAAAGAATTTGAGGGCTTAAGGAGTCAGGAGAGGTGATAGTACTAGAAAAATTTTTTCAAAATATTTTGGAGCACTTAAGAATGCAAACCCTACTTTTTGGCTTACATGCATTTAATTATATTTAAGGTATTGAGAATAATGATTAAAATGTGATGGTGATTTATACTAATTGATTATACGTTTTTTCATCAAATAACTTAAGTAACAAAAATGACTAGTCTATAGGATTCAATGTTTTTGAACGTGTATGCCTGTCTGAAACCTTTTTACTACACGCTCAAATTTATTATATTAGTTTATAAAGTGTGTGTATATTGTTGTAACAGGTATATTAGTAAAAACATACCTATGCATAGAACTTAAAAGAGTTGAGCAATATTAATAGTAATAAAAATTAACATTTTCTACCCACTCACCTACAAGTTTTAATGTTTTCTCCCCACACTCCAGTGAATTGGCTTGCACCCACCATGGAGAACCCTGGGAACTAGCTGACATCATAGAAACCAAGCATAGTTCCTTTGGCTCAGCAGCCACAGCAGTCTGCAAGAATTTCTTTAAAAACTTGCTTACATTTGTTTTTCACTTTGGCTTAACTTATAGTGCCGCCAGTGCAACAGTATAGACTGTGTGCTTTCATCAATAACAAGGAAGAGTTCTTTCAGTACCATGGCTCCTTCAAAACACTCTGAGCAAGTGGAAAATTAAGAGTTTGCTTGCTGCTTACCCCGAATGTACCATTGCTCCATGCACCATCAAATCCATGAAAAGACCTCAGGCTTTCCATTTTAACTGGATAAACTTTAAGTTCACCTGAAACCTGAAACTGCCTTCTAAATGTCACATCCCAAACTCCCTTTGAAATTGCTTCCTCTCTTTTCCTGTTTGGTCCTCCAGCAGATATTCTGCAGCCTACAGCTTACACCAGTCAGCCATTTGTCCTAAGCAACAGTCTTTTGAAACTCGTAGAATTATTGAAGATAAAAGACTATTTAAAAGTTTATATTCAAAGAATGTTGAGTGATTGGTTTAAAGAATGAAAGTGATTATTTATTCAATAAATATTTTCTGAGTACCTACTATGTGCACTGTTCCAGGTATTGGAGATATAGGGAATAAACAAAGCAACCAAAACCTCTGCCCTCCTAAAATTCACATTCTGGTATGGAAAGAAAGGCCCTTTGTAGACAGGGATGAGTATCTCAAAGAAAATCAGGAGTCACATTCACAAAGTGTCTCCTCTCTACTCTCCTATTAATGTATTAATATGACCTTGATGTTGCATAAATGACCATCTCTTCCACATTTTTAGAAACGTTTGTCCTGTGCAAAGTAAAAACATCTGTACTCAATAACAAATTGTACCTCGTGAGAGTTGGTTAAAGGGCTATTGTTAGATTTGCTCAATCTGTCTGGCTTCTTCATTCCTCCCAACAAAGACATTGTGGAAGAATATTTTCAGTTTATCCTAGAGTGGGAAAGAAAATATTTAACTCACGATCCCAAGAATACGAGATTGGCTCTGGAAATCCTTTCCAATAAAAAAAGATGTTAAGGTTGGATTTTTTAGCTGTGCTTGGTAAGCCAAGCAGATCTTTGCTGTGATAATCACCTTACCCATGGTCTGGAGGCTTTCTCAGGAAAGGCTAATGAAGTGGACTTTGGCCATCACCATAAGAGAGAGAGAATACCTACCACACCCCACCTCCTGCAGACTCAGTCCCCAAGTGAGGAGGATGATGATGATGATGACGGAGACCAGTGTCCTCTTGGGTCTGATTGTGTATCCCAAACTTTCACAACTTTTGTGAAAAGTTCTGTGGTCATGAATTAAAAGAACAGAAATTAGAAAGGAGGAAACACTGCTTTATTTCCACTGCAAGTTTTCCTGAGTGCTCTCTGCTGCTCATTCCCAATCTACAAGGCCAAATGTATTCCTTCTTCATATGAGCACTGCTTTTCAGTGGGTCTTGCTTACACTTCTCCTTGTGCTGTGTGATGCCAACTCTTTAGCAGAACTTTTGCTCTCTAGCTTTGTGTGTTTCTCTGGGCTTGAACCAGAGTATACGTTTTTCAAGGGGGCATTTATCACAAATTTATTTCTGCTTACTCCCATTACCTCCTTGCACAATGCTATGTATATAGCCATCAAAAATGATTTATATGAGAGAGGAAGGAAAATAGACTTTCCTCTTTGAACTTGAGTTTGATATGAAGTCATCTCTCATGAGCACGTGTATGTACACTCAACTGATTTCTATTCCTAACTAAGGATGTGCAAGCAACACATAGTTTACATGGTTTATGTCACTGCTTATCACTTCCCAGTTGAGTGCCATTGGGTGATAAAATAGTCAGCTGTAGAATCCATTCATCATCAGAGAAAAAAGCTAGTCATTTCAAGGTAAATAATATATTTCTAAAGCACTGCGACAAAATATAAATCTTTTGTTTTCCAGCTCTCAGTGGTAGCCATAGGAATTAACATATACCAAACATCGAATGTAGAGGAGCTACTCCACTTTCTGGAAGATGAAAATACTTTCCCCAACTTTGAGCATGTGGCATACTGGCAATTACAGTTCAACAATATAGCTGCTGTCATAGTATTTTTAGTCTGGATTAAGGTAATGGATGTATTTTATAATCTGCATTTATAATTTTTTTTTTATGACTGACATGGGTCACACAAAACATTGGAGAACTTGAATTTGCCTTTGTGGCTAAATCCAGGTGGCCACCAAAAGCTGCTCCATATTTTACATTAAGTAAATTTTTTAGTGGGACTCTTGTGACCATTTCTCACTATGATGAGGCTCCCTTCTCCTGATCCCTGAATTCTTGCCATATCTGACTTTGTAGGTTTCGATTAATAAAAGGCAGTAAGTGGCCTTCTCAGTATGTCCATACAGCCTGGGGCCCAGCTTCTAACACAGGGCAGGATCCACGTTCCACCTAATGTGGTGAGTAGGTGAGAAAAGGAACTTAGAGTAAGAGAAGTTGGGATGGGGAGGGAGAAAGCACTCACTAGAAGGAGCGCCTCTTTCCAAAGGAGGCCAGAGGGAAGCTCTGCTCAGAGCTAAGGTTACATCAGACACTTCCTTCAGGAGTTCTTACTCATTTCCCTCTTTTCCCAAGGTGTAACATGTATTTCTGGGTGTGTGAAAGGTTGGGACATTTCATGTCCAGTGAGCCCCAGTTCTGGAAATATAGGAAATTTTGGTAATTCTGAGGCAGCTGCCAACTGGTCACTACTCAGATTCTAGGATTGTGCTGCCTAGACTGTAGCTACTGGCCACATGTGACTGTGCCCATTTATGTTTAAATGAAGATTAAACACAGTTAAACAATTTGAGTTCCTCAGTCCCTCTACCCACATTTTCAGTGCTCACTGTCTGTGTACTTCTAGTGGCTACTGTACTGAGAAGTGGAAATCATAGGTCATTTCCATCATCATAAAAAGCTCTCCTGAGCAGCTGTTCTAGAAGGTACTTATCAACAGCTATGTATTTTCCTGAATTGTTTATACCTGGAAGATCTGAGGTTAATCAGATCACCCTGTGTCTCTCATGCTGCTCATTTAGTTGCCTGCTTAAGGCACCATCACCAAAGCACCAAAACTTTCTTATAAAATGAAAATGAATTGAATCTAGGGATGTCATTTAATGTAGAGCACTTGCCTCCCATATATGAGGCCCCAGTTTTGAACCTCAGCACTACAAAATAAATAATGAATAGGAATTTTATTAAGTAATGTTGATTACAACACTCTCCAGAATTTTTGTTGTTGTTGTTGTCAGAGACAGTTCATAAAGGATCACTAAGTAAAATTCCAGAGATTTCCTTCTAAAAATGCCTTGGGTTACTGATTTTTATTTATTGTTTCACTTCCTCAAACTTGAGTGCTGAGTTAATTCAGCCAGGGATTATAACTCCACTTCTAATATCCCCAGGCACTTTCTACCCAGGATTTGAACCAGAGTTACGGAGCTTGTTCTGCATGCTGAGCTGTGCCCTTCACAACCTGGGCGGCCAGCCCCAGAGCCTTGTCCACAGCAGTGCTCTGTGGGGCTTTGCAGTCAGGCACAGTAGTTCAGAAATATTTCAGTCATTGTGGAGATTCAGGACAGTTGTCTAAGGCTGTCCCCACACAGTTGTTACACATTAAGTGACAGTAATAATACATGATAAATATTTCTCATATGTTTATTAGTTTATTTGATAGACTTTCTTCTTTAACCTGTGGGGGGGATGCCACTAGTGATTTTAATTGTAATTAAAACTATTTTTGCTATGCTTCATATAAAATGAAAGCAAAGGGAGGCATAAGTTTCATTCTGTCCATTGCTGTATGTCCAGCTCTGAGAATAGTTTTTGGCACAGATTAGGTACTCAACAAACACTTTGAATGTGAAGATGGAAGATGCTAGGTTTGAAAAAAGAAATAAAATAAGTAATTTCTCTTCTCTGTTTTTTTATTATTATTATGGTAAATATACATAGTATAAAATTTACCATTTTCACCATTTTTTACATGTACAAATCAGTGACATTAAGTGTATTCAGTTTTGTTGCTTTTGGTGGTACTGGAATTTGAACTCAGGGCTTATTTTGCTAGACAGGTGCTCTACCACTTGAGCCACTCCATCAGCCCAGGTATATTCAGATTTGTGCAACCATCACCACTCTGCATTAATAAACTTTTGTATTCCTACACTAAACTTTGTATCCTTATACATCGATTTCTGATTCCTCCCCTTGCCCCACCTCCTATTGTCTTCTATTCTACTTTGTCTGTGAATTTGACTAAGAACCTCATATAAGTAGAATCATACGGCATGTGACCTTCTGTACCATGCTTCTTTCACATGGCATAATACTTTTAAGGTTCATCGCATAGAACGAATCAAAATTCCATTACTTTTATGAAAGAATAACATTCCACTGTATGTGTATACCACATTCATCTTCTGTGGTCTTCCCTCTTTTTCAGCTCTTCAAATTCATCAGTTTTAACAGGACCATGAGCCAGCTCTCCACAACCATGTCTCGGTGTGCCAAAGACCTGTTTGGCTTCACCATTATGTTCTTCATTATCTTCTTAGCCTATGCTCAGTTGGCATACCTCATCTTTGGCACTCAGGTTGATGACTTCAGTACTTTTCAAGAATGTATGTAAGTATATGGTAAATTAGGAAGAAATATTTAATTACAGATGTCACTTTCTCCTCAGAGATAAAGAAATTTTCATGGTTGCTATTTGGAAACCAAAATTTGGAAAAAAAATTCATATTTAACTAAGAATTACTTTCTAAAACATTGACTCACCAAGGCAAAGAAGACAATACATTTTGACATGCTGATGTTTAAGCTGTCAAGTACTGAGAGTGGAGCAGACATAGAACCCAGTCCTATTCCACAGACCAAGGTCTTCTTAGCACCCAGGGCAGGAGAGGGGCTTTTAAAAGGCCATTTGCTGCTGGTAGGAATATAGCTCAGTGGTACAGTGCTTGGCCTCGGTTCAACCCATCACAGAAAACAAAGGTTATTTGACTTTATTTTCTTTTCCAGTGAGTATTTTGCCATGTATTTTGAACTTAAATATATTTTATAAAGAAAGTTATTCTTAATATCCTTCGAGAAACGTAGAACAATAGTACATGTAGAACAGTAGTCATTCTTTTCCAAAATTCCCAAATACACAAAAAGCAAAAAAAAGCGGCCAGTACTAGGTGTCTGTGCTATTTACAAAGAAGTTAGTAATTAGGAAGGGAAAAGATCATGTAATACAAGTTATAGGACTTTGTGTAGGGGGATCCCTAATTAATTTTGCTGACTGATGAAAGTCAGGAATGGAAATGGTTTCACTAACACTCAGCACTGGCAACACCCCGCCCTGTAAGAATATTGGGTTTGTGAATATATGCAATTCTGGCTGGTGCTCAAAAATTTTCTCCTTGTCTTTGAAGATATTTGAACTTCATACCCAGGGTGACCTTGTGAAGATTTAGAGTTACTACCATGTTTTACTCAGATTATGTTTCGATTCTTAGTGCCAACTGCTATATAAGTCATTTAATAATCATCAGATTTGATATTAGTCAAATGGATAAAACATGTAATATGAAAATTTATTTCAGAAAGCTTTGAGTGCTGATAAAGTAACAAGACTTTTCCAAATATATCAACAATCTTCTATTTGGCAGCTCTCTATAACTGCCTAAAAGGTCCAAAAATGTTAAATCATCTTTAGAAGTTGTTACATCCATTGCTGGACATTCTTTGGTTTTGTATTGTGGCGTTTTGTTTTGTTTTTATAGTGTCACTCAGTTCCGTATCATATTGGGCGATATCAACTTTGCAGAGCTTGAGGACGCTAATCGCGTTTTGGGACCACTATATTTCACTACCTTTGTGTTCTTTATGTTCTTCATTCTTTTGGTATGTACAGTTTTGTTTATGATGAGGGGACTTAAACTTTGTGCTCTTATAGCACCATCTTCTTTCTCTCACACTCATTTATTTTGTATAAGGACACAGAAAGTAGGAAAAAATGTTGATTTTAGAAAACTGTATTTTATTTTTCATTGATTTACTTTCAGCATCAAACACATATCTTTTCCATGATCTTTATCCATATATTTGTGTGTACCTGTTGAATGGAAAAAAATTAGAACAAGTACAAATTCAGTTACCTAAATGGTGGTTTGCCTCAAAAGTAGAAGCCAGACACTCACATGGTTTTTAAAAGATAAATGACAGCATTTCATAGTCACTGGCATACATAATTTTCCCTTTTATCTTTTTTTCTGTTCTTTGAAAAAAGTAGGAACTGACAAAGCAATTAGAGCCAGGAATTCAAGAGTTGTATTTGAGTGAATTATTGCCTGTCATATTCTATTTCAATTTATTCATATTTCACACGAGAGACTACCTGCCAAGAATCTCTATATATTGAGTTTAAAAATACAGTTAAAAATGAATGAAGTTGATTTTAAATTTATTGTAAAAAATGCCCTTTTTATTCTCTTTGGTACAAATCAACACATTTAAATTTTTTATTCTAAGTTAAGATTTTTAATGGTAGTTTTGTTCTTAGTCTTAATATTTGTATATTCACTTATTCACGGAGAAGTATTAAACTAAGTTAGCTTAATTTAGACCCAGGGTATATTTAATCTAAACACTAACTATTTCAGACTTTCTTTACAGGAAATATCCTCTTAGGAAAATAACAAAATTGTTTCAATTTTTCAGTAAGTTTTATAAAGGTATTTTGTAAAAGGTGAATGATGATGATTTCAGGTAACTCTTGTCACATCTCGAAAGTCTGCCCAGGGCTGCAGAATCTTGCAGGCCCATTCCCACCTTGTTTTTATAAGTACTGTGGCTGTTTTTTAACTTAACCTTCCTAAGTGTCTTCTTCATGATACATATTACAGAAAGAGTAGAGAGGAATAAGCCTTTGTTACCCTCTAGCATGGGTAGTACTTTGGCTTCTGGGGCATCTGACTCTTTACTGAGAAAATAAAAACCAGGAACTGAGTGTCCTATAGTGATCCTTCACTTGACCCCAGGGCACTGAGTTTTCATAGCTTATTGATCTGCCTGGTGAGGGACACAATGTGGCAATTTGAAATACTCCAAGAGTATTTGTTGGGACATTTGTGCTTTGGTAAGCAACACCTTTTAGGTTATTACATCATTTCATCACTTCAGTTACCAGAATGCATGAGGAAGCTCTTTGTTTTTGTCTTTATGTTAGCATAATTCTTATACACAAAAGGAATGACTCTCCTTGTATCTTCCAGATATAGATAGATGATAGCTAGATAGATAGATGCATGGATTTTTCAATACACACTTGTTTTTTAAGGAAATTCCAAGCTGCAAGTAGGGTTGCCCTCTTTCTGTGCTGACTGCCTAGTGTTAACTCACTTCCTGCATTTAAAAAGGATCCACAGAGGTGTAAAGAGAGTCATCTGAGCCAGGAAGCTCCTCCTCCAACACAAAAGGGAAAGACCTCCTGGTAAAGAGGCCCTTCTGACAATTAAGTGACCCTTGTGAGACAGGATAGGGAGAAGAAAAGTGAACTTCCTCTCCCCACACCTTCTATAGCTTTTCTCAGCCACTGTCTCCTTTGTTAAACCTTCTCAGAGAATCTACACTTTCATCCATGTCAGCTAAGACATTTGCATGCATCAGTTGGCCATTTGGAATTTAAAAATAGCGTGTTAGATGCTTGGGTTGGGAGAAAGAGGGTAAAAGACTTTATTCGTTTTAAATTAGCAGGCATGGAGCATGTAGTCAGGAACTTACATCTGTTTTATGTTTTAATCTAATATTTGGTACAGAATCTTAAACAATATTCTTCCTTATTTGCTAGAGGTTCAGTAGCCCACTAAAATAAGAGAGCGCCTCCTTTGTTCATTCATCAATCATTTGATAAATATTTACTGACTCTGCATTTCTATGCATATAGTGTATGTAGTGCCTAGATTGCTTTATGCATATGAGGCAATTTGTTAGATGTTGAGGATACCATGAAAAGAACAGCAGAGCCTGAACCTGCCATGATGAAGAGTTTATACATAAATAAGCACACTATTCTAGAATTACAAAGCATAATTGCCTTCTAAAAAAGGAAGAGAATGGAAAAGAAGGACTTGATCTACTTTGAGAAAGTCTGTTGGAAACAGATGCTGGAAATTCATCCATTACCATGTGGGCGGGGCAGAGTCAGGAAAGGAGCCTGGCAGTGGCTGAATGACAGCAGCAGTAAATGACGGAGCTCTGACCCTGCTTTAGGGCCTGTTCTAAAGCATCTTTAGGAGCACTTTGCCTAGAGATCCCACTAACCCACACAACCGAGCTGCAAGGGAGGTTCCAGAACGTTTTCCGTTTTATAAATGTGCAGTAAACAAACACATCCTTAAAATGAGGCTCAGGAAGGTGAGGCCACATAGACACTGAAGGCCAAGTTTGCTTGACGCCACAGTCTTCGTGTTTTCCACAAAGCTGTCCTTTCCTAACTTTCTGTTAGGCCTGCTGTATTCCTACGTGCAGAGGGCATTTTAACTCTTTAAAATACTTTCGGTAAATCTCAACTGGGATTGTATAACAAAATTTGGAGTGAGCATAGGATTCTACTTGCCTGTGTTGACTGTTGAAATTTGTAAAACTGTTTAGTGTTCTGCACACATAGTAATTTATGTAAAAATTTAAAGATGTATAGAACATTTTTTTCTAGATAAAAAATAATGAAATACTTCTGTCACTCATTACATTAACTTTGTTGTATGTTTCTCTTTACAAAATATAATATGTGGTTTTGTAAGTGAGCATATATTTGGCAAGATTTAATGAAAAAATAATTTCAAAAGAGTGGCAAGAAAGCAATTAATACTGTCATAAAGCACTCAGATTGGGGACAAAAAGTGGACGAAAAGACATAGCAATTATTGGATTATATTTACAAAATGTATTTGAATTTCTTCCTTTGATTTACAAACAGAATATGTTTTTGGCCATCATCAATGATACTTACTCTGAAGTGAAATCTGATTTGGCCCAGCAGAAAGCTGAAATGGAGCTTTCAGATCTCATCAGAAAGGTAGGAAAATCCATAATTCAAAAGTTTCCCACATTAAAAAATATGAGCATTATTTCAGTCAATTTTCCAAATCAACACTGATTCATTAAAATGGTTTGGAAGTAGTAGATTGCTGTATTTCAGGGATAATAAAACATTTTCTCTTTTGGAGGCTTCGTGGATATGCTGTTGGCTGAGACTTAAATTCTGGGAATCCTTATTGCCCTGGAATTCAGTTCTCAGTAATCTCCCTCACTCATAGAAGTTGTAACACTGCCTTCAATTAGCTCTCACTTCCAGATCCTGAGTTCAGAATAAGCTAGAAGGGAGGATTACATACAGACCCTTCCAGCTCTTCTGTCTCGTTTACCATGCAAACAAAGAAACAGTTTTGAAGGAAAATATGTAGTCATTCTCCTTTACGCTTCATCTTCTGGCAATTGTAAAACAGTCAAGTTCATATCAGACACTAAGGAAGTTTTTAATATTTTGAACAATTAAAATCACAGAACAATTAAAATTACTCCTCTTGACAGTTCAGTTCACTTTGCACGGTTTCAACCTGGATGATGATTGTCACTGTCCTGCACTACCAGGCAAAGCTAAGTCTGCCTCTAGTTTGTGTCTTTGTTTGCTTGGTTGGTGCAGTATTGGGGATCAACCCAGGGCCTTCCACATGCCTGTCAAGCACCCTACCACTGACCTACACCCCAGCCCCGTGTGTAGTTCGTTACTTAAAAATCCCCATCCAGACTGTGGTTCTAGGCAAGCCTTGGCAAAAAGTTTGTGACATTCATCTCAATGGAAAAGAAAACTGGGCATGATGATGCATACCTGTCATCTCAGCGATAGCGGGAAGTATACAATAGGAGGATCGTAATTTAGGCCAGCCTCGGGCAAAAAGTGAGACCCTATGTCCAAAATAACTAGAGCAAAAAGGGCTGGAGGTATGGCTCAAGTGGTAGAGTGCCTGCCTAGCAAACAAGAAGCCCTGAGTTCAAACCCCAGTATCATCAAAAAAAATTTTTTTTCATCCATATTTTTTTTTAAATCTATATAACTTATGTAAGCAAATTACTGTGAGATCATATGAAAAGTAAACGGTCCATGGCTCAGATTTCTTGGTATTCTTAAGAACTGGTAGATATTTCTATATATTCTGGGGCAGATAACTATGGAATGTATAGTGATTTTCATTTCTGTTACTCACCTTCATTCATCAACACACACTGGTTTAGTGGCCACTGTTTACCAGGAACTGAGTTTACAGTAGTTACTACTATAACTGAAAGATAAAGCAAATCAAAGGGAGAATAAACTAAACCAAGTCTCTCTTTCTCTCTCTTGGTCTCCCTCCACCCCCATAGGGCTATCATAAAGCCTTAGTTAAACTAAAACTGAAAAAAAATAGTGTGGATGACATTTCAGAGTGTCTGCGGCAAGGGGGAGGCAAGTTAAACTTTGATGAACTTCGGCAAGATCTCAAAGGGTAAGAGTCCCACTTCCTGGGCCCTGGGAAGTTCACTCCTGTAAAGGTAAATTCCTGGTGACTTGGGTGTTTCTGGCCCAAGTACTCATAGGAAGACACTTTTGTTTCTGAGGCGGGTGTCTTTCTGGAACTGGCCTCCATTCAGCAATTTATCTTTTCTTGCTGCATTTTGATGTGTCTGTGTTTGGGTTGGACCATGTGCAGAATGAGTTCATGTGTATCCTGTAATAATTTCAGGAAAGGCCATACTGACGCAGAGATTGAGGCAATATTCACAAAGTATGATCAAGATGGAGACCAGGAACTGACTGAACGTGAACATCAGCAGATGAGAGATGACCTGGAAAAAGAGAGGGTGGGTGTAGTGTAGAGTGTGGTTCGATTCAGCACCCACCAAGTATCAACCACTACACTAAGGGACCAGCTATTATGAATCTCTCTCTCTCTGCCTTTCTTTTCTCAGTCATCTTATGTATTAGTTATTACTGCCAAAGTTTTTATTTAGCCAAAATTCTCTTTCTAAGGTTACTTCTTATTTAAGAGCTATTAAATTTGTTATCTTTTAGAAAAGGTGATAAATATATTCTTTCATTTACCTTTTTCTTTGCTTTGTTATGTTTTTCTCATCCAAACAAAAAGTTAGTAACACTTTGCTATTTGTTGAAGTCTATTTTGAAAATACGTCAATCTACAAAATTGAAAACTGTGAGTCCTGGCTGGCACACACCCATTTCCTATTTGCCCAAGACCTTGGTAAAATCAGCGTGAGGTCTTGGTGTATCTATCCTCACTTGGTGACCCCCTATTCCTCAGGAGGACCTGGATTTGGATCACAGCTCTTTGCCACGCCCCATGAGCAGCCGAAGTTTCCCCAGAAGCCTGGATGACTCTGAGGAGGAGGATGACGATGACAGTGGACACAGCTCCCGAAGGAGAGGCAGTATCTCCAGTGGGGTTTCTTATGAAGAGTTTCAGGTGTAAGTGTGAACAAACGGGCAGAATTTGGGCTGGCCAGAGTCTGAATGAGATGAAGCCATTTCCCCTGTCTTTCTAAATTCACTCCTTTCCATTGCTAAGCATCACTCCCTTTTTATAACTTTCACTGGTGTTTTCTTTCTTTTAAAAGTGAGATGTTCGTTTTGGGAAAATTAGTTAATTAAGAAAAGGAAAAGAAAACAAAGTCCCCCATATTCCTATCCACCAAAGTATCTATTAATGTTTTAGTATGTGTGTCTCTAAAACAACCAATGATTTTGCCTGTTCATATGCCTAACGTGTGGTCCATTCTGGAGAATTCTTTGTGCCCTAGGAATAATGTATATTATGACGTTGTTGAATGGAGTGTCTGCTAATAGGAGTTTGTTAGATGTAGCTGCTTTATATGTTATTTATGTTTGCTTTTTCGTTGTTGATCTTTGGCCTTGTTGTTTTATCTACTTTCGAAAATAGAATATTAAAGTCTTCAACTATTATTATTAAATTATCCATTTGTCCCTTTGATTCTGTAGGTTTTTCTTTGTGCATTTTGAAATTCTGTTTTAGTTGCACACATGTTTATAAATAGTATATCTTCCTAGTACATTGACATTGCTTTCATTATAAGAAATCTCAGTCTATCTTTTAAAATATTTCTGTTTAAAGTCTTTTTGCCTGATATATCTATAGCCACTCTGCTTTCTTCTGGTTGCTGTTTCATAAAATATCTTTTACTGTCCTTTTAGTTTCTTTCTTTCTCCTCTGAATCAAATCTTACATTTATGCCCCAGCTGTTCTGAACCACAATCCTGGTATTTATACTTCCCACACAGCGGGGATGACCACGCATGCTACCACACTCGCATTTTGTTTTCTTTTTTTTTGGTGGTGGTGGGGTTTTAACTAAGTGCTTTGTGCTTGCCAGACAGGCTCTCTGCCAATTGAGCCAAGACTCCTGCTCTTTTGTCTGTTACTTTCAACCTATTTGTGTCTTTGGAAATAAAGTATGTTTCATGTAAACAGCAGAATATAATTAGATCTTATCTTTTAATCCAGTGCCTTTGGGTATATTGTCTGATCCATTAATATTTTTTGTCATTGCAGGTATAATTAGATTTACATATGCCAGTTTACTTTCTTTTATATATTTCTTCTGTCTTGTTTGTTCCTCTGTTCTTCCTTTTTTGCTGTCTTTCTGCATTAAGTGAATACCAGTATAATATTTTGATTCCTTTCAAGATTTTTTTCTTTTTCTTTTTTAGTTATTTTCTTAGTTATTGCTATAGGACTTAGCATACATAAATTGAGAAGCTACTTCAGATCCATATTAAGTTAATCCCATGAGTTATAGAAGTGTCATTTCTATATCTCTTCTGTTTCTTTTCTCCCTTTTATGTTTGTGTTCCTGCAAGTGTATACTTACATACACATTTATAAATAGTTAGTTCTTAAAATTATTAACATTTCAAGTAAAATAAAACACCTATATACACATAATTTTATATTCTATAATAATATAGTATATGTATATAACATGTATGCATATAGATACATAACTCATTTATGTATGTGCTGAAACAACTTATTTAAACATACATATTTATGTCATATACATGTATGTTATATGTATACATATATTCATCTATATACATTATAAATCCAACATTATACTGTTATAATGTCACCATATAAGTGTTATGCCACTGAGAGAGGCATGAGAGAGGAAAGAACAAAAAGTGTGTATTTATAGTGTTTGCTATATTAACCCTCTTGTTAGCCATTTCTGATTTTGTTCATTTGTTCTCTGGATTCAAAGTACCATCTGGTATCATTTCTTTACTCTAATACAGTATGCTCCTACTTCCTTCTTTGGTATTGTCAAATATATTACAGTTCTATATATTTTAGGCACAACAATCCAATTATGCGCAGATATTAAACTTTTTAAACTAGTTAGGGAACAAAAGAAGAAATATACCTATTTATACTCTATTTTATACTTACACAATTACCTTTACTAACATTGTCTTTTTCATGGAGGTTCTGATTACTGTGATTCTAATTTCAGTCTTAAGAATTTCCTTCAGTATTTGCTATAAAGTAGTGAATTCTCTTCATTTTCATCTAGGCATGTTCCATGTCATATGTATTTCTTATGACTTATGTTGTTCCTAATGAGAAGACAGCTGATCATTTTAGTGAGGTTCCTTTATGCATGATACATTAAAGTTTTTGCTGCTTTTTGTTGTTTCCTTTGCTTTCATTTTCCATATTTTTTACGATGTGTGCCTGGTGTTTATCCTACTTGCCATTCTATGAATTTCTTGGATGTATAATGTTATTCATCAAATTTGGGAGATTCTTAAATATTCTTTCTTCAAATATCTGTAAATACTACAAACTCACTCTTGTTACTGAAATTTAGTTGATTTTTAAAAATGAATGCCTTTTATTTGCTATATGCCCATCAGAAAATTTCTAGAGCATTATAATAATTGGGTTTTAAAATAATTTTAGGGAGTCTACAGAATTCTGCTACTGCTGTTGAAGTTGTCTCCAGGTTGCAATTTTTAAAAGCATTTGCACAGGATTTTTTTATACAAAATAGATACAACATGTTAGGTGACCATATTGTTTTCTAACTGCATTATTTACTTCAAATATATTGTGAACATAGCAATATTTCCTTAAATTTTTTGTCACACTATAATTTCTGGTGTCACCTTAGAATTCCATTGTATAGGTGAGTAGTAACCTATTTCAACAATAACTTATGCATTATTTAATGTAGTTATTTTCAAAAGGCAGCACTTTTGAATATCTTTGCGAATATCTTTTGAATATCTTTGTGGCCAAAAATTACACATATAAAACTTTGCATAAGAAAAATATCTAAAAATGGAACATCTGGATAAAGGGAGGGACAAGTCCTTTTTTAAGACTTTGGATGCCTTGTTCACTGGCAGGAAGTTGTACCAAGTAGCACTCTCGCCAGCAGCCTATGAGAGTTGGTCTCTAAGGCTTGAGACCACTGGGTTCCAAATGATCAGTCATATTCTTTCAGAAAAGTATCTTAGCATTTGCACTTGAAAAGCCTCCACCGTGGTTTTCTGCAGCCTGGTGAGACGTGTGGATCGCATGGAGCACTCCATTGGCAGCATCGTGTCCAAGATTGATGCAGTGATCGTGAAGCTGGAGATCATGGAGCGTGCCAAGCTGAAGAGGCGTGAGGTGTTGGGGAGGCTGCTGGACAGTGTTGCTGAGGTGAGTGGCTGGGCTACAAACTCCTGACTGCTGAAAAAGGCGTTTCATGGGTAAAAATGTATGCTGGACGCAAGTGTTTTCCATTTGAAATATTAAAGAAGAGTAAATTTTTTTTATAAAATTAGATTGACAGACAATCTCAAAGTTGTTTCCGTTTACTCTCACCTTCGGATTTTGTTTTTCTAAAAGAGAAGGATTCCTTGATCCTGTAAAATGTGAAGGTAATCTTTAACCTAACATGCTTGTCGTCCTTCGTAGCTACAGGTCAAATGACAACCTGGGGGTGTGACTGGACACTCCACACTGATGGTCCTGCCCTCACTGGAGGGTACAATTGAGTGAACGGTCACTCCCACAACTCCAGGAATTGCTACTATTTGCTGCAACTCTCCAGCCCTACCTAACTACAGATTTGTCCACAGATTTCCTATGGCAGTGTCTAGGCAAGACAGTGTGTGTCACGCTGCCAGCAACGCCTGCTTTCTTTTTCCATTCTTAGGATGACAGACTGGGTCGTGACAGTGAAATCCACAGGGAACAGATGGAGCAGCTGGTGCGGGAAGAGTTGGAGCGCTGGGAATCCGATGATGCAGCTTCCCAGATAGGTCACGGTGTAGGCACGCCAGTGGGGCTCAGCAGTCAGCCTCGTCCCAGAAACTCCCGCCCTTCCTCCTCCCAGTCCACAGAGGGCGTGGAAGGCGGCAGTGGAAATGGGAGTGCCAATGTGCACATGTAGTTTGTGTATGCGCATTGGAGGTGAGGAGGTGGCCGTCCTGAGTTGCCGTGGCAAGTACACTATTTGTATACCATGACTGCCGTGTAATGCTGGTCTTTGTGACTGATTGTTAATCGTTTGCACTTTAATTTATTTTATATTAACGTTACCCATAGATCAAAGATTATTTTTCTTTTTCTAGTATGAGAGATCTAGATGTAAATATTGAATTCAGAAAAAAAAAAACTTTGAAAAATATATTGACAGGTACCCATTGCTACCCTGCCTGAGTCTTCTCAGTTGACAATGAAGTAGCCTTTCAGAGCTCATAGAGAAGGTCAAGGGGCTTCTGAGTTCCCTTTCAACCACAAAATCAGTATTACCATTTTTTATCCGAAGGTGAAGGGGAAGAAAGTAGAGCCCTCCTTCCCACTCAGCTGTAACTCTTGAACTTTATACATAGCTTTCTTTAAGAAAGGAGTCTTTTCTTTCAAATACCTTCCTGAGGTGGACTTTGCTTAGAAATTTAGTATGGTCTGTAGCTACGGGTATGTAGCCATTATGCTAGAATGTCTGTGAATGTTTGAGATCAATGTTAAGTACTGTGTTTTTGTGGTGGTTGTTTTCTCATGTTTAATGACTGTGTGACTAACTGTATCACTTAGTTTTTATATTATTCTTTCTCTATATAAAATGGCCTGAGAGGGCTGGCAGAGTAGCTCAAGTGGAAGAGCGCCTGCCCAGCAAGAATGAGGCCGTGAGTTCAAACCCCAGTACCATCAAATTAAATGGTTAATTAATTAATTAAATGGCCTGAGCAAACCACCAAAGAGCAATTATAAGGTAAGGTGGTGTTTGTATCCATAATGTAGGGATTGGAAGGAACTTTAAATTGTTACTGACTTTGACTTTTTGAACAATTTGTTTGCTATTAAGATTTCTCCATTTATTCTCTTTCTCATGTGTTTCAACTCATTTGCAAGTAAATTTAAAGTTACAATCTACTAGGACCAAGTTTTTACTATGCACTGAAATTTATATTCATTTTAAGGAAAATTTAAAGGATGTGTTGAAATTCATAAAGCATTATAAAACTAGTTTTTCATTTACACTATTTCAGAAACATAGTTCTTAAATATTCTTGATTCTATATGTCAAAATTAGAATTTACTATCCAAATAGAACTCAATTTAATACAAGGCTTTGGTACTGCAAAACCATTCATTATCAGAAGGTATCAACAAGAATTTGCATTAGCAGCAATGGTTTTCTTTTTTTTTTAATTTTTATTTTATTCATATGTGCACACAATGTTTGGGTCATTTCTCCCCCCTTCTCCCACCCCCTCCCTTGTCTCCCCACCCCTTCTCTCTCCCCCCCACCCCCTTGCTACCTGGCAGAAACTATTTTGCCCTTATCTCTAATTTCATTGAAGAGAGAGTATAAGCAATAATACGAAGGACCAAGGGTTTTTGCTAGTTGAGATGAGGATAGCTATACAGGGAGTTGACTCACATTGATTTCCTGTGCATGTGTGTTACCTTCTAAGTTAATTCTTCTTGATCTAACCTTTTCTCTAGTTCCTGGTCCCCTTCTCCTATTGGCCTCAGTTGCCCCAAAGTATCTGCTTTAGTTTCTCTGTGTTGAGGGCAACAAATGCTATCTAGTTTCTTAGGTGTCTTACCTATCCTCACCCCTCCCTTGTGTGCTCTAGCTTTATCATGTAATCAAAGTCCAATCCCATTGTTGTGTTTAGTAAAGAGTCTCGCCATATTTATGGAGTAAAATCTATTCCTCAATTTAAAAAAAATGAGAATGTTGTTTTTTTTTAAATGTATTGTGTGGTGTGAATTTTGAGAGCTAGTGGGAAAAGAAAGACACAATACAGCGCTGGTGAATTCCTCAGCTAGAATACCAGTAGAGGAGAGGCTTAATGCTATTTTACACTACCAAGTTGTCCATTTAACTGTAAGGATATGTCAGTGAAATCTCCAGTGAAAGGATGCGCAGACAGGACTTTCTAGGTCTGCTTCTGGAGCTGTGAACCATCTTCTTCTCCTTTAATGGGAATTCATATGGCTTCATCTCCATCTTTACTTGCCTTAGCATATGCTACTCCAAGTTCTTTCTTCCTAGGTACTGAAGTTTGCATTCCAGGGATATTCAGCTGATGTATTTAAGTATGTGTGCCATGTTGTTACATGTAAACAAACTTCAATTTGAAGTGCATCTATTATGTGGTATCCATGTGTATTGACGATGTACCATATATGGATATGGTCAATAGAAACTCTTTTATTATGATATTTACTATGACTTTACTTTTATCTCACTGGTAAAATTTTGCAAAATTCTTTTTACTGAAGTTGCATATATTTTTCTTCTTTAGTCATAAATCATTTCTCATCCCTTTCCTATCATCTTCCCTCATGTGTTGGTTAAATTTGCAAGCCTTTTGACAATCAGATGTTTCATAGTTGTGTAATACTGGGCACTTTACTTCTTAATAAAGGCTTGATATAATAGCAGATGTAAGAATTGTCTGTTTTTGTGTTGGTATAGTTAAGATGTTACATATGCAAGTCTTTTGACAATGAAGAGTTTCATAATTGTGTAATACCGGGCACTTTACTTCTTAATAAAGACTTGATACAATAGTAGAAGTAAGAATTGTCTGTTTCCTAACTAAAAACCTTTGGGTGATTTGCCTTTTATCAGACGACTACTGGTAAAGGCTTATTTGAAAAGGGTGCCTTCTTTGCTAAACAACATAATTTCTATGTTGATTACACCAAATAAACATTTCAGATAACCAATTGGCATTTAAACACAGGGCTGGCATGTATGGTGTCTTCCCTTTAGTTCCCTTGAAAGGACAGCTGAAGATAAGGACTTCAGGGTAGAAGGTTTATTAGGACCTGTAAGTAGTAGGAAGAGTGTGGAAGACAGGAAGGGATCAGGAAAGAATTCATTTAGCTCACAGCATAGGCAAGTAAAGACTTATTTCTTTGGTGAAACTCTAAGAAATAGTGTAAAACACATAGTTCAGACTTATCCTACATGAGGAAGTAGGCCTTTAAGTCACTCTGGGAGATAGTAACTATTCTCTATAGGTTCCAGTAGATTGAGTCTCACTTGGTGGTTTCTGTGCAAGAAAAGAGATACAGACTCTGGTTGCTGAAAGTCAGTAAGTTTATATGCAAAAGTGCTGTGGCACAAAAGAGTTGCCTACCATATCTACCAGGTGTAAGTAGGTATGCATGAACTCCCAGGATTTCTGTTCCTTAGGACACAATGCAGATGGTGCCCTGTGGACATGTGCCATGGGATGTTTTTATAGCCACCTACCAACTAGGGAGAATCTGAAAGTAGAGTGGAAAAGCACTCGGCTAAGATTCTGGTCCTCCTTAGCCATGTCACCATACCAAGACACCTGGTTGTTACATGAGGCCACATTTTCTAAGGACTCCATTTTCTCATTTGTAAGTTGAGAAAATGAATAGTCACCTCATCTCCCTCATGGGATTCTGTGCACAAAAGAAGAATGTGTATGCAAGAAAGTGTGTAAAAAGCTGAAATTTCCACTGTGAAAAGGAAGGAGGCAGCATGGCATCCAGAACAGTGATTTGTTCAGCAAAGAGCAGTCTGTTGAACCAACAAAACTAAAGGATTTCTTGCCAATTTCAAATTCAAAAGGCAAATAAAAGGGACTGAGTTTGCCAGAAATAATTTAAACCTTACTTAAGTCTTCTCCACATCTTCACTGTGCATATATACAGTTCAAAACTGTTTGCACAACTTTGTTCTCTCTTGTACTTCATCTTAAATCTTGAACATTCCATGAAATCCTGAATTTGTGGCTACAGAGTACATAAATATAAGTTGATATTCTACACATATATGTAAGTATATATGATATGTCTATTATTAAATAATACTGTTATAAATTATGATTTGTATGAAATAACCAAAACATATTAGCCTCATTCCTAATATTGGACTCAATAACAGGATTTTTCCTGTTTTTCACTAGATCTATAGCATTCCAACTAACATACTTAATTTTTTTTTTCACATTTGTGGTTTTTTTTTTACATTCAGGGAGCATTATTTATAGCAGCCAAAAGTGAAAACAGCCCTAATGTACATGGATGGAAAAACAGATAAACAAAATGCAGTATATCCATACAAGGTAATATTATCTGGCCATAAAAAGGAAGGAAGATTTGATACATCATGGACAATGCATAAAAGAAGCTGGTCACAAAACCACGTATCATGTGATTGCATAGTATAAAATGTCCAGAATCGGCAAATCTATGGAGACACAAAGATTAGTGGTTGCCAGGGCTGAGGGGTAAGTAGGAAAGGAATGGGAAGTCACTGCAGAGGCTTCTGGGATTTCTTCTGCAGATTATGAAAATGTCTAAAAGTAATGTCTGAAGTTTAGTGACAGTTGCACAATTCTGTGAAAATTCTAAAAAGTTAAGTATGTAAGGAGTAAATTATATGGTAGGTGAATTAAATTTCAATAAAACTATATTTTGAAAAATAAATAAACCCTTGATCCCAAAATTTAGTACACAGTAGCAGTATCTGTAGAGCTTGTTAAAATAAGAATTACCTGAGGTCCACAATCAAGAGTCACTGGTTCCAAATTTTCCTTTCTGATAGGTTCCTAAGGTGATGCTGATAGAGGTGGGTGTAGCCCCGCTCTGAGAATTACCTACTGATAGGCTTCTGCAGATATCCTAGGCTTGGCCCTGAAGCCCTGCACAACCAGGCTCTGCCTGTTCCCCTGCCTGTTTACCTGCAGTCTTCCTCTCATCTCAACTCTAATTCATATGCATCTATTTGTGGTTCTCCTACCATGTTTTATTGTTGTGCTGGGTGGGGGTACATTGTAGCATTTACAGAAGTTCTTATACTATATCAAATATATCATAATTGAATTCACCCCTCCGTCATTTGCCTTTATGCCACCTCTCCCCCCCATTGCTGGAATAGTTTCAACAGGTATCATTTTTCTGTTTACATACAGGTGTACACAGTATTTGCACCATATTCAGGCTCCTATTTCCCCACCCCCTCTCCCTTCCCACTGGTGCCAAGCCCTCCAGACAGGATCTGTTCCACCCTCCTGTTCTCTGATTTTGTAAAAGGAAAAAAAATTGACATCTTT